TTAGGGCCTAAGTTTGTGGGGTTTTACCTTAGTGTGACCCAAAAGTGAAGGGAAAAAATCAAATTAACATTGTCTGCAAAGCTACAAAAACTAAACTACAAATTGTTGGCTAACCCTCGGTTAGCTTAATCGTACTAAGAACAATCCGGACCTTGTTAATAAACTTTTCTCCTTACATAGAGAATTTTCTCTTAGAAATCTCCCACCGATAGAAAAAAATTAATCTCTCTCAATGCTCTGAGACGTAAAAGCCCAATCAGCATCATTCTTGTTCTGATAAATTGATACGTCTATCTGTATGTGTACTTGTAGTTTGTTTCAAGTCCAAGATGTCAAGCTATCCTCGATGAGGTTATCTTTTACGAGATGCGGGATTGGCAGGACAAGAGCATGGCAAAGAAATTTTTTCGATGCCTTTGCCAGTTTTTCGTCGTCTTACTTGTTACTCCTTTGTTTTACGTTTTCATTCGACCGCCCATGAAGATATGGCGCAGTCTGAGTGATTTCGAATGCCTTGCGTACGTAGAGAAGTTATATGAGTATCCCTACAATAAGTTTGCAAACCACACCATGTTTTACATTGTATTCCTGTGCCTGCTTTTCGCCTCAACTTTCGGCTTTGAACACGAGTACAGAACAAGCACAACAGGGCTTTCATCCATTGGTAAGTTGTGCAGATTGATTCTTTACCACTTTGAGTGTATTAGCTAAGAGCAACGGCTGATTCTGCTGATACCGTTTAATTTCGTAATGCATAATCCTGAATTAGCTGGAGAAGGGGGGGAGGGGTGGAGTAGAGGTGGGGCACTTACCTTCAACTACTCTTTGGGTTAAAAATGTTGTCTATTTCTTTATTTCGTGATGTATAATCCTGAATTGGGTGGTTAAACTAACGGGAGGGGGTGGAGTAGAGGGGGAGGGGGGGTACTTACTTTCAACCACTCTTTGGGTTAAAAATGTCTTTATCAGTAGTAACCTCAAACTGCAAGGTTCTGAAAAGGTAAACTAGTGCGACATTAAAGGAATTTAATCAACATCTCGTTAGCGTGAAGCATTAACAGTGTTAAATATTTCAAAAAATAACGAAACATCGTCTCCAATTCATTTCGGCAGCGTCATTTGCTGTTCTGATTTGTCCACAGATTACGCTGTCCTTGTTTATTTCGTCGGTTTCCTTCTACAAGAAATTTGGGAAGTTTGTCAACAAGGATTCTGCACCTATATCTGGAAATGGTGGAATGTCGTGGACGCAATGACACTTTTCACACTCCTGGCAGCTTATACAGTATGGC